ATAAGTTTTTAAATTTAGATATCAATATATAATAAAATAAAATTTTAATTTTTAAATATAAATTAAAATTTTAATCATTTTAAAAAAATTCAGATGGATAGATTTTAAACTTAACATATAATTTAAGTTTGAAGTATTAGAAATCAGGTACCTTTTGACTTGAAAAATTATTAAGACAGTAACATAATTTGGCCTAAATTGTTTTCATTGATATATAAACAGTTCCTTATTTGAAGGCCGCCTAAGTTGACGAGAAATAGCGAAAATAATATAATTATAACATTATATAATGAGTTTTTTTGACATATATTTTTTGTGTAGACTAAAAATATTTTTTTATTATGAATATATATAAAAATTATAAAAATTAATATTAATTTTAATTTTAAGTAAATTTAATTAGATAATTAATAAATTAAAAATTAATTTTTATTTTTTAATATAAATATATAACAAAAAAATATATTTAATATATTTTTAACTTCTACGTTAAAAGTACAAGTTAAACAAATCCTTATATAATATTATAAATTTGTAATGTTTTAAAGAATAACTTAATTAATTAAAAAATTAAGATTTTAAAATTAAAAATTGTATATTTAAATATTAAGCTAGCCCAGTTGATTGAAATTTAGGAAAATAACGAATATCAAAAGAATGTTCATGTACCTGTTTATGGTGAACTGTGGGGAAAAACTCTGGACAAGAAATAGAAATATAACGGGTTTATTTGGTTAAAATGTTTATTTTATTAAAAAGGTTTTTATTAAAAAAAGTGGTTAAAAATATTATATAAAAAATTAGAAAGTATTTTATAAAAAAATTTTAAATTTTGTAATAAAATTTTATTAAAATTTTATTAAATTATTAATTTTATTATATTTAATAAGAAATTGATATAAAAAAATTAATAAGAAAAATTATTAATTGAACTTAATATAGGAGAAGTTATAAGAAAATTTTTTTCTTAAAAATTATGTTAGGAAGAATAAAAGTAAAAAAAATATCATTTTTATTCTTATTTTATTATAATATTAATACAGAGAAAAATGAACAAGGGAAAACTAGATTAGATGGGAGCACAAACAAGGTAGAGAAACTTTTCCAAAAGAGAAACACGGAAGGGCAGAAGGAGGGAATAAGGCTTTAAAAGCTCCGGTCTCTTCCCTTGTTCCCACACTCTTCTTTTTGATCGCTCTTTTTTTTGACGTAGTCTTCCACTAATGCTTTCTTTTAATGTTTTCTTCTTCTTTCTTTTTTCTTTTTTTAATTGTAAACTTTCTTTTAATGTTACAGTATTGATGACTTTATTGTAATACCCTTACAGAAGGGAGGAATGAAGCTTTGAAAGTTTGAAGTTTGAACTTTGAAGGCTGCGTGCTATTTCCTTGTTCCCACACTGTTGTTTTTCATCGCTCTTTTTTTTTTTTTTTTTACGTAGTCTTCCACTAATTCTTTCCTATAATATATTTTTTTTAATAGGTTAAAGCCAACCATTGTCCCTCTACTTTTAATTTTTATTCATGTCCATCCATATACTAAGGATTTATTCATGTGTCATCCCTCTACTTCACCAAAAGCACTAAATATCGTCCCTGTACTCCAATTATTTTGTTCGTGTTGTCATCCTTTTTCTGACGGAGTTACTTTAGTCGTCTATTTGAACCGTTTAATCCACAAACCATTGATTGTTGAAGCATTTCTTGGATTTTTTTTTTCCATATGTTCTGCCATCTAGGAGGAGAGAAGCACCCTCTCGTCAATGTCCTACTTTACTTCTTTTTTCAAATTCAATCATTTATGTTGTTAATTTATAATCTCACCTCTTACATTGATTTGTTTTTACAGTAATTCACATTTAACCCAACTATTATGAACTAGTAATTTTTAGTTAGAGAGGTGAATTATATTTAATACTACTATATAATGTATTAGTTAGTACACATATTGAATTGATAGATTGCGATGCTTTAAATTTTATATTGAGTAAAAATGTAAATGTAAAGATTCATTATTATTGATAACTTAATGTTAAATTTTAAGTGTTCATAAACTTAACTTTAAAAGTTATTAAAATTATTTTTATGAGTTTCTTTAATAGGGTTTTAGGGCATACGTTAGGGGCACATTTATTGTATCCTTTCATAATTTATATAAAAAAATTACAAAAGTAAAATTTATTTTTAATATCAATCCAACATGAAATATTTAATTGGATAGTTAATAAAAACTGTAATCAATTTTTATTTTTTTGTACAAATTAATGATGAAAAGATGCATACATTAAAAAATTCATTTTAATAGAAGGTCTTTCTAATATGATCCCTTAAATATATTTTTTTTATTATAAATTTATGTTAAAAAAACAAAAATTAACTTCTAATTTATCAATTATTCAATTAAATTTATCC